AAAACCAGGCATGCTTATATTATATATATATATATATATATATATATATATATATATATATATATATATATATATATATATATATATGCGATGGCTAAACTGAAGTCTAAATTACGCAACAAAAGAAAATAACCACGACGTTTCGTTTTAACAGAAATATTTACCAAAATTACACAAAAATGTCTTGAAATATTAAAGAGTAAATTTATTCAATACAATATTCTTTGGCTTCAACGACAGCCTCCAGATGACTTCGGAATATCCTGCATCTCTCCTGGACGGTCTCCTTGTTTAAGATTGTGAATGCTGCCATAATTTTTGCCTTCAGTTTATCTTTGGTGTCATATGGAGTTTTGCTGATCTCTCGCTCAACTGCGCGTCCCGCACATAATAATCAATTGAGTTGCAGTCTGGGGAGTTAGGTGGCCAGATGTAAGGGGGTGATGTGGTAGCGGAAATTATCTGACAGCCATGACTTGGTTCTCATGTTTGTGTGGCAGAGTGCAGAGTACAGACTTAAGTCATCCAGAAGCCGTCCTCTTGATCCAGAACAACGCTACATTCTTAATGAACTTGATGTAGGAATCTGTGTTGAGTCTGAGGCCATTTGGAAAGATTAACGGAAGCATAACATCACTCCAAACACCTTGACGTTGGCTGGTTATTTTGGTTTTCATCACTTTCGGTACAACTTTTGGGGACACCTACATCCTCTGCGCTGTCCTGTGAATGTTCTTATTGGAGTCTGCGGTGAGAATGCCAAGCAGTACCGTATGCTGTTTCCAAATTTCTGTCGGAGGGAATTGCGCCATATTGTCTTTTTTATCACAGCTGGTTCCAAACTGTGGAGTCGACAAAACCAAGAACAAAGCGTATGAACAAAATTAATTATAGTGACAATTAACTCATCGCATCCTGTGTGTGTATATATAATTGTATCATACATTGCCCTCAAACTCCCCACTTTTTTCTCCTTTGTTCTGTGAAAATTCCCGCGGTTTGATTTTTTTCTTTTTCCCTCATACCATTAATCATTTCATTTTTTAATGTTTTAATTGTATGTAGGGTGTTTGTGTGAGTCAATATATATTGCAATAATTCTTAAATTGTTCCCAGTCGACCCTGATGAGCTTGGGAACGAAACCGGATGGTCTGTTCTGTAAGTGTGATCATCTCTTATTTTTTTTTATTTTTCATAATGTCTTTAGGAAATAATTTGTATCTATTCCTTGCAATATTACGGTTCTGTACCTCCAACAATTTATTTGAATATATAATTGTAATTACACATGGTTTCAGATTCCCTCGAGATTATATATATATATATATATATATATATATATATAAAATGTAAAAGATATTAGGAAAGCCGACGCGTTTCGTCCGATGTGAACTTTTCGCCTTGAGAAAGTCCACATCGGACGAAACGCGTCGGTAACTATTACAGTTTTCCTATTGTCTTTTACATTTATAAATATTGTCATTTTCTACAGGTTAACTCTGAGAAATTTTTCATATATATATATATATATATATATCTTATCGTGCGCCCAACACTTTTTCCACACTTCATTTTCGTTGTTACTGTTCTTTCGTATAATTTATTGCCACCGATTTACTCCCTGATGAGATGTTGAATTAAAGGCTCTTAGAGACAAATAATATTTTCCTTGTTTTTTAAACACACACACACACACACACACATATATATATATATATATATATATATATATATATATATATATATATATATATATATATATATCTAACAAATGAAACTGCTTCCAGAGACTGAAATTCAAATTGTTACTGACTTTTCAAGCTAAAGTGATTGTCAGCGGACAGTAGGATCCTCAGTTCTCATCGTGCGAAGATCGTTCTGAGATTTTGGGTCTGAGTCCCTGTATGCTGTATTATTTTTATTGCTCTGTCTTACGAAAAATACTGTTAGGTTTCCAATTTGTTTTTTTTTTAATTTAAGTAAGTCCAAAATTATACTTAATTTTAACTGCGTGTACCAAGGTAAACAACGAGGGCTGCTAAGAGATGCAATTTAATGCGTAATGAACATAGAAAACCTAACTATATTTTTACTACTGTAAATTACATATCGATAAAAAATATTTACCTTTGCTTTTAAATGTCCATCTGAAGACGAAACGTATGGGTAAATAATTTTTTTTCCTTTAGGCTTTTACATATTTTTTTATTAAGGATGAATTATATATATCTGAATTTTTACATATCGTTTTTTTTTTTCAAAGTAAACAATTTTGTTCTTTTTAATTAGGGTCGTAATTGTAAAATAAATGCCCAGTATTGTTCCTGTGTATTATGAAAGAATTACATAGGAAATAGTTATCAATCTAACATGATTCACTTTTATTAAAGCTTCATCGAAGAATGAGATAGGGAGAAAATGGAGAATTCATTTCTAGTAATTTTACTTTTTGTCTGTTTAATTTTTATTCGTTAATCATGTTTCACATGCATTCAACTTGGTAAAAATATTTTAGCATAATTTGTGGCGTTCCGAATTCATGGGGAGTCGAGACGCCCATTCGAAGTTCCAAGAAATTGACGTATTCCAAGCCTGACTGAAAAATTGTAAATATTGCTTTATGTATATAAGTTTATAATAATTCTAGTTTGCCTATGTGGGATTCAGGTGATAATATCTATACGTATGAGTGTGTGTGTGTGTGTGTGTGTGTGTGTGTGTGTGTGTGTGTGTGTGTGTGTCTGTGTGTCTAGGAGACATTTTTGGTGGTTTTCGGCGTGTTGGTTTTTACGTACAGTTCTGCCATGGCCATTAATGACTTGAATCCGATTGAATATCTATGGCAAGATTTGGACGTTCGAATAGATCGTTGGTCTCCAAAAAACGTCAGGAAATAGAACGTGTGACCATTGAAGAAGAGAAGAAAATCCTAGAAAAGACTTGTTCAAATCTCATCAAAAACATTGGAAAACGATTGCAGCAAGTGATAGAGGCCATGCTATTGACTATTTATATTGTGAAAGTTGTTAAATTTTTATACTGTTTATATACTCTACGAATAATTTAGTCTTTTCCTATTTTGCATAATTCGCCTGTCAAATTTGTTTTATTTAACCTATTGTTCTGAAAATTGAGTTATATATTCCTTCCCTGTGCTTACTAACATATAAAAAACTGGCATAATACGGGCATTGGATTCTAAAAAAATGGATATAAATATTCAAAATTGTTGGGTGAACGAATAATTTCGTTGTTTTCGGAGAAAATATGTGTCCTCCTTATTGCTAACCAGACGCTTCCTCTGTAGCTAAATGGTACAGCACGTTAGGCAAAATGACGGTTCCGTGTAGGATACATGTTCGATTCCTGTCAGAGGACACATATTTTCTACAAAATTTCTCGGACGTCCCGGCCGGTAAATGTAATTAATACTGTTTATTATAGAGCATCTATATAAATATCTGTAGCTATAAACAGGAAATATATTAAAATATATATAATTATAAAAATGTTACTGGTCAGAGTTGAATTAGATCAGGAAACAGTAGCATTAAAAATTGCTCAATATATGTATATATAAAATAAAATGAAATAAAAAAATTAACATGCAGAGCTTTGGAATATATAAAAACAAGGAGATCAGATTATTCTAGTCTAGAATTGTTATTACAATAACATTTCCAAACCAGAAAAACCTGAAAATAATGACACCATGCATACGCACAAAAAAGTTCCCTTTTGAGTTAGTACGTACCAGGATGATAATATATATATATATATTTCATAAACCCCCTCCGTACAATTTCGATACCCTTGCTTTTCTCTTTTCCTTCTATCAAGTTTCGTGGTGTGCGCTTATTTTAAATTTATTTTTAAATAATAAAGCGTTAGGAAATTATTTAGCCGGGATCGCTCGCTGGAAGATATCGAAATGTTGAAACCAGGGTAGCGTGATCGGCTGAACTAATTATGTATATAAAAGAAATATGTTGTAGTGGTTCCAACGAGAGAAAAGTATGTATATTAAAAAGAAGAGAAGAGAGGTGCCGCAAACGTTTTTGGTTATAATGTGGATTTATTTAGAAAAAAAATGTTTTATTTTCCATAATATTACTACACGTGTTTCTGGTCTCGTGTCCGTCTTCAGATAAAAGGCGGAGATTTCCACATATTATTAAAAATAATTAATTTTTTCCTTATGTTTTTCAATGTTAAATATTCTCGATATGAGACATTCTCTGTTTTTGTGTTAGTAATCCGAATGTCTTTCTTGAATTTTTTTTTTTTTACGTTACAAACAAAAAACGTTTGCGGCACCTCTCTTCTCTTCTTTTAATATATATATATATATATATATATATATATATATATATATATATATATATATATATATATATATATATGACTGAATTATTATCATACATAGTTTGATTTTTATGCTAAATTACCAAACAAATATTTTTAATGTTTAATAATTAACAAAATAAAAATAATGATATACCTCAATGACACATACGTCTTTTGTTTTTTTGCTCTTTTGTTGTTTTTTTTGTTTTGTTTTTTGCGCCACAATTTTTCCTAGTCCCTTTCCTAGTCTGTGTCTAAATTAGCCCACACATCTTCAGGCTTGTTATCCTATACTTCATGTGAAAACTCTTCAAGTGTTGGTTGTTTTTCCTGCACTTAAATGCTTAGTGAATTCTACCACAAGTTTGAATTGGATTTATATTCTTATCCTGAAGATATTTCTAGACTAATTTAAAAGTGTTTTGGATCGTTGTTTGAGAAAAAGCTCCAAGCACGCATCAGTTTCAGATTTTTGACAGATACCTCCAAGTTGCCATCCAATATTTCACAATAATCCTCTTTTTTTATTATAATATTAACTCTGACAAATGTTCCTGGTTCTTCTGGCAATAGAAAAACACCAAAGCATGAGATATCCTCCATTACGTGTTGTTGCAGAAACGGCGTTCTTCGAAATAAAAACCTCACCGTGATGTCTCCAAACAAGTTTATAATCATTATACCCGACCAAGATCACGTACCAAGTTGTTTTAGGGCATGGCTGATCATGGATCTCCACAACTTCCTGCCGTTTTGCTGCTCAAAATAGAGAGGTAACAACACTACTTCTGTTAGCTAATGTTTAATTTTCTTTTTATAGTTAATTGTAAATGTTTGCAAACAAAAATATTATTGTACAATTATTGGCACAAGAAAATAGTCAATTATTCAATTATAAATCCTTTTTAACAATCTTATTCAATAATCTTTTACTGAATTGGTACAAATCTTCACAGAGATATTTTACCACACTTCATTTGTTTAATATCGATGTTGTTTCAAATTAATTAGTTTCCTTACCCTTACACGTATTTTTAATTCATTCTTTAAGTTTTTTAATTCCGTACAGGTAAAAGCAATATGAACGATACAACTTTATTTTAGACATAGATTTTCATTTAATTTATGTAAGTAAATATACATTGTAAAACAAACTGATATTCGAAAGTCCGTGTAACTTCCTCAGTTTTCAAGAAAAGAAGTGTGTTGAATTAAACGGTCTTTCATTTCCTGGTAAAGGGAATTTGAGAATTGCGTAAAATGTCCGACGTGAAAAGAGAAATACTAGAAAAGGTGATGAACTAATTGACATATCTGTTCAGTTTCTACGAACATGTCGGTATCGATTCATATCTTCTCTCCTTCCTGTGCAGGAAATGTAACGGTTATCGGCGCAAATTGATCTGTACATTCACTTTTGGGAAAAGGCAGAAATCAATCTTTATTCTCTAACCAATTTATGGATTAAATGGGGACGAAAAACTGGACTGTCTAGACTTTGGTAAAACCATTCTAGGAAAGGAGCAAGTCGGCAACGAGAAACAACTTCACAGTAACAGTTCTCATACTTTATACGAACGTCGTTTGGTGCAACATGACCAGATAAACTCTGAAAAGACCTGGCATTAAAGACGCCCTTTTTACGCTCGTTGTTTCACTGTAATTTTTTTTTAATTTAATTTTTTTTTTACTGAAGTAGAATGGAGAGAGATTAATTTAATCTAACATCAGCTCACAAGAAGCTAATCTTTGTTTTATTATTTTATAGCCATCTATTTCTTTAAAATTATTTCTGTTTAATTATGATTGGTTGAATAATGCATTTAAGTATGATGTTCATTATACTGTTCTTTTCTCTTTGTTTAATATCCCATAGCCTCTCTTCCTCCTTTCTCTCTATCTGGTTTTAATATTTCTGTCTCACTGTTTGATCGCTTACTATCTGTTGATGTATCTTTTTTATTTCTCTTCCCGCCTTTGTTTATCTTTATGTATCTCTCTGTTTCTATCTCTCTTCCCTCCTCTGTCTTTATCTCTGTTTCTATCTCTCTTCCCTCCTCTGTCTTTATCTCTGTTTCTATCTCTATTCTCTTCTCTTTATCTCTGTTTCTATCTCTCTTCCCTCCTCTGTCTTTATCTCTGTTTCTATCTCTCTTCCCTCCTCTGTCTTTATCTCTGTTTCTATCTCTCTTCACTTCTCCGTCTTTATCTCTGTTTCTATCTCTCTTCCCTCCTCTGTCTTTAGCTCTGTTTCTGTCTCTCTTCCCTCCTCTGTCTTTATCTCTGTTTCTATCTCTCTTCTCTTCTCCGTCTTTATCTCTGTTTCTATCTCTCTTCCCTCCTCTGTCTTTATCTCTGTTTCTATCTCTCTTCCCTCCTCTGTCTTTATCTCTGTTTCTATCTCTCTTCCCTCCTCTGTCTTTATCTCTGTTTCTATCTCTCTTCTCTTCTCCGTCTTTATCTCTGTTTCTATCTCTCTTCCCTCCTCTGTCTTTATCTCTGTTTCTATCTCTCTTCCCTCCTCTGTCTTTATCTCTGTTTCTATCTCTCTTCCCTCCTCTGTCTTTATCTCTGTTTCTATCTCTCTTCCCTCCTCTGTCTTTTATCTCTGTTTCTATCTCTTCCCTCCTCTGTCTTTATCTCTGTTTCTATCTCTCTTCTCTTCTCCGTCTTTATCTCTGTTTCTATCTCTCTTCCCTCCTCTGTCTTTAGCTCTGTTTCTGTCTCTCTTCCCTCCTCTGTCTTTATCTCTGTTTCTATCTCTCTTACCTCCTCTGTCTTTATCTCTATTTCTATCTCTCTTCCCTCCTCTGTCTTTATCTCTATTTCTATCTCTCTTCCCTCCTCTGTCTTTATCGCAGTTTCTATCTCACTTCTCTTCTCCGTCTTTATCTCTGTTTCTATCTCTCTTCCCTCCTCTGTCTTTATCTCTGTTTCTATCTATCTTCTCTTCTCTGTCTTTATCTCTGTTTCTATCTCTCTTCTCTTCTCTGTCTTTATCTCTGTTTCTATCTCGCTTCCCTCCTCTGTCTTTATCTCTGTTTCTATCTCCCTTCCCTCCTCTGTCTCTCTTTATTAATCTATCTTCCCTCATCTGCCTCTCTTTATTTATCTCTATTCCTTCCTCTGTCTCTCTCTATTTATCTCTCTTCCTTCCTCTGTCTCTCTTTATTTATCTTGCTGTTTATATCTCTCTTCCCTCCTCCGTCTCTCTTTATTTATCTCTCTGTTTCTATCTCTCTTCCCTCCTCCGTCTCTCTTTATTTATCTCTCTTTCTATCTCTCTGTCCTCCCTCTTTCTTTATTTATCTCTGTTTCTATCTCTCTTCCCTCCTCCGTCTCTCTTTATTTATCTCTCTGTTTCTATCTCTCTTCCCTCCTCCGTCTCTCTTTATTTATCTCTCTATTTCTATCTCTCTTCCCTCCTCCGTCTCTCTTTATTTATCTCTCTGTTTCTATCTCTCTTCCCTCCCCCGTCTCTTTATCTATCTCTCTGTTTCTATCTCTCCTCCCTCCTCCGTCTCTCTTTATTTATCTCTCTCGCCCTCCTCTGTCTCTCTTTATTTATCTTGCTGTTTCTATCTCTGTCTCTCTTTATTTATCTCTCTGTTTCTATCTCTCTTCCCTCCTCCGTCTCTCTTTATTTATCGCTCTTTTTCTATCTCTCTTCCCTCTTCTGTCTCTCTTTATTTATCTCTCTGTTTCTATCTCTCTCCCTTTCTCTGTATAAGATTTTGACAAACCAAACACATGATAATTCACTTTACAGTCTTTCTCTCTTCTCTTCAAACTTGACTGCCGAAAGCGTTTGTCCCTTTTTCATTGTCATCAGTTTTATGTCTCCCTTTCAAATTCATCTTGATATATTCGCCATCTTGTTTCTTTTGTGTAAACTGTGATGTTTTCCTTTCCATTGGAATCTCTCTTTCTTCTACAATGTTTTAGTCTACTGTGTATAGCAGGTAAAAGATGGGTTCTTAAATATTCCAAATCAAAATCACTGACAACAAAACCAAGTCGGGGTTCAAACCCGCCAAGCCGATTACATTTTACGGGTCGACGAACAATATTTTCAAAAGTACTGTAGCCAGTATTTAACTGAGAAAAATTGCCTTCAGAAGAACACCCAAGTTTAAACTTATATTAGCTAATAACTGACTTAAGGGAAATAAAGTAAAGTGAGATATTTTTCCAAGGGAAAGATACAACAAAAAAAACATGAAAACGCTTGAATTTGCGACAGTCTTTAGCAATAAGCAATGGAGAATAAATGGGTTATTTTATTAATATATCCGGAGAAGGTTCAGAGTATTGCAGCAAGAATATAACACCTCACCGTTGTGTAATGCTTAACAAGCTGGGGTCATTGATCCTTACAAATTAGAAGACGAAAATTTCATCCATTGTAAAGAGGTAATTCCTTTCAGAAAGATACCATGTTTTCTGTGGATGTTTACTGACTAAAATATAAAAAAACGACGAATGCTTAGCGAGAGACATACGTATAAAATCGACAAATGTTTTCCAATAGATTTAATTATAAACCCGAGAATCGTTTACACATAGACGCAAATATAAACCCGAATAACGTTTACAAATGGACACAAGTATAAACCACCCGAATAATGTTTACATATGGACACATGTATAAACCACACGAATAATGTTTACATATGGTCACAAGTATAAACCACCCGAATAATGTTTACATATGGTCACATGTATAAACCACCCGAATAATGTTTACATATGGACACATGTAAAAACCACCCGAATAACGTTTACATATGGTCACATGTAAAAACCACCCGAATAACGTTTACATATGGTCACATGTAAAAACCACCCGAATAACGTTTACATATGGACACATGTATAAACCACCCGAATAACGTTTACATATGGTCACATGTATAAACCACCTGAATAACGTTTACATATGGACACAAGTATAAACCACCCGAATAATGTTTACATATGGACACAAGTATAAACCACCCGAATAATGTTTACATATGGACACATGTAAAAACCACCCGAATAACGTTTACATATGGTCACATGTATAAACCACCCGAATAATGTTTACATATGGACACATGTATAAACCACCCGAATAACGTTTACATATGGTCACATGTATAAACCACCTGAATAACGTTTACATATGGACACATGTATAAACCACCCGAATAACGTTTACATATGGACACAAGTATAAACCACCCGAATTATGTTTACATATGGACACAAGTATAAACCACCTGAATTATGTTTACATATGGACACAAGTATAAACCACCCGAATTATGTTTACATATGGACACAGGTATCTTCTCCAAAACTGTTTGACTATCAACTCAAGAATAAACGCAAATAATATTTACCTATAAACTCACCAATAAATTGGAGCACTATATTCCTATGAAATGACAGAAAACCATAATGTGTCATAGGTTTTTTGTTGTGCATATAGGCATAAAACGTTACCTTATGTGCTCCCGTAGTTTCCATCTGGCTTGTATTAATTAGTTTTTGTCCATTATCCAGTATGAATGTTGTTTTGCATGACCCCATTGTAATTTGGTGCTGTAGTTCGGTCAGATTCAGCCATTGATCACATCTAATATAATATGTTTTTCAACTTCGCCCTTCGAATCTTCAGTCCGAACCGCTATCCATAACACCATCCGCGCATCCATTATACACCCAACCAAAAGATTCAATTCTAAAAACAATGAAATGTTTAACAATAGATTTAAATATAAACCCAACCAATATTTTGCTACAGACTCAAATATAAACTCCACAACAATTCGATTTAAATAAAGCTCTGTGAAATAATTGGCCGGGTTTAAGTGCAACTCACAAAATTATTAATAGACAAAATTTTCAACAAGTGGAATTGACAAAAAATATCAATAAACAATAAGCTGACAAAGAATAAAAGAACAGGGAAAATATGAAGCTATATATATATATATATTATATATATATATATATGAATCAAATTGACAATCGGAAATTTATAATTAGACCATATCAACGCATTTCGTCCTTGGACTTTATCAAGGCAAGCGAGGATAAACAAAACCAAAATGTTGTGTAGTTACATGAAATTCAAAAAGCCTCTTTTGTTGCATAAGACTCTTTTTTGATTTTTGGGAACTTTTCATTATTCTTTCTTCGACTAAGTGTGTTTTTGTTTCCCATTTCGACAATGTGTTAAAGTTCTCAGAATATATCTGTAGAGAAGACAAACTGAATAAAATATACAGTCGGAAAATAGGAATTAGTCCTTGTCGACGCGTTTCGTCCTTTGACTTTATCAAAACAATTGACGATAAACAAAAGCCAAATGTTGTGTAATCAAAGTTCTCAGAATATATCTGTAGAGCAGACAAACTGAATAAAATAGACATTCGGAAAATAGGAATTAGTCCTTGTCGACGCGTTTCGTGATTTGACTTTATCAAAACAAGTGACGATAAACAAAAGCCAAATGTTGTGTTGTCAAAGTTCTCAGAATATATCTGTAGAGAAGACAAACTGAATAAAATAGACAGTCGGAAAATAGGAATTAGTCCTTGTCGACGCGTTTCGTCCTTTGACTTTATCAAAACAATTGACGATAAACAAAAGCCAAATGTTGTGTAATCAAAGTTCTCAGAATATATCTGTAGAGAAGACAAACTGAATAAAATAGACAGTCGGAAAATAGGAATTAGTCCTTGTCGACGCGTTTCGTCATTTGACTTTATCAAAACAAGTGACGATAAACAAAAGCCAAATGTTGTGTAGTCAGAGTTCTCAGAATATATCTGTAGAGAAGACAAACTGAATAAAATAGACAGTCGGAAAATCAACACATTGCCGACATGGACAACAAACATATACTTAGTCAAAGAAAAAAAAAAGAAGTGACTATTTGATAACTTTAACACACACACATACACACTCACGTATGTATGTATGTATGAATGAATGAAAGTCAAAAAGCAAAGCAAAACGACAAAAGGTATACATTCAAGGGGTTATAGCGTTCTGACTTCAAGGCAAGAAATAATAGAAATAGGGCGATGAGACTGAGTATTGTCCATTTTTATTTCTTAGGTAGAAATCCCAGTACGCCTTTGTAGGATTTGGGAAGGGGCAGGGGATGTTTCCACTGCAAGTATATCTCACAGACTAAAATAAAAACTCAAGACTAATCAATACTTGCCTATAAACGAGACCGTATAAATAAATAAAATTATATTTCACAATTAAGTAATCCAACAAGGGATTATATTTAGGGAATTTTTGAATTTTGTTTGCTAAATTGTGTATTAGAATCTGTCGGTAATTTGATTATTTATAGTATGCCATTATCAAGAGTAAATCGCTCTGTTAAGCTGTTAAGTTATATTGATTCACTGTGTTGTGTTAGATCATTTTTCTCTACTGAATCTATCTTACATATCTAAAGTCTACCATTCGTCCATGCTTCTAATATTGCTTCCGCATATAATCAGGTGCTCCTGTCATATATCTAGGGGTCCTTGATAAAATCCAAATACGAATTAGCAATATTATTGATCCTGATCTGGCGTCTTGGCTTCAGTCACTTCCCACCACCGTAAAGTTGCTTCTCGGTGTCCTTTCTATAAATCCTTTCACGGCAACATTTGCATGTTCCCTTCGCTATGGTACCTCGAATTTTATGAATTTAAGCGCAGTACTAGACTGGCGATGAGGTCTCATCTATATACAGTTGAGTTGGCTAAGATGTAACCGTAAGTTCTATGCTAACAATTTCTTTTCTCACACTTCTCGCTTGTGGAACTTCGAGCTCCATGCTTTCCAGCCAACTTTATTCTTAAAAAATTCTAATGCAATGCCAATCGCTTTCTGCTGTCTTCCTGATTACTTTTCTTTTTTTTTTTTTTTTTTTGCTAATTAGTAGTGTTTCTGTTTTCTAATTCTTTCACATCCAGTAACCCCTTGTGTCTTAGTGGCTTTACTGCCTTGCTTGGGATGAAATCGATTGAAAAACAAGACATATAAGATCTTTGGGGCTGGCAATGAAGTAACTATAGGAATGGAAAATGTTATATACTTTACTATTTTACAAATGCCGTTAAAATTAAAGAAAAAAGATGTTCTTTAAAATAACCGCTACGCTATCAATATTTCTATGGTAAATATTCTCATGTGCTTCACGAGTTCAGAACTTCACAGATAGATAATTTATAAACGATCTTCATTTACTTCGTATGCCATTAAGAAGAAGGAAGCTCCATTTAAACAACAACTTCTCAAGAGCCGCTACCTTTGTGGAACAAACACTCGAGAGGACGCTTCTATTATTGTTACAATCTTAACCTCTTGGAGTCTAGGATCAAACGTTATCTATATGTCCTCGTAATTGACAATTTTTACCACTATAAGCACCACCATTTTCGTACCCTTGTACCTTGTGTAATTCATGGGACTTATTGGAGGGGGCGTAAAAAAACAGACCGAGTTGAAAAAATATTTTAATAACATTATTGAAGTTTTGTTTTTCTTTTTTTAATTATAAAAAGTGCTTAAAAAGGAAAAAAAACAATCAGAATAAAAATAGATGAAAAAAAAAATTCTCCTTCAAAGTGGGAAACAAGATTCAATTGAAATTTGTTGATTTTAATTTTTTTCTATTGCCTGCTAGGTTTCAGTAACAAATGCATTGAAATTGTATGCGTGGTGAGCTGACGTAACTTTGGTCTCAAGCCGAGAAGTTCAGCTTGGCTTGCTAATAATATCGTCAGTAATCAGTCAAGCACTAACAGCAAACCTTGAAGGGTATTTATTTCTGTTTTGCTTTCACCTTGCCTTTTAATTTCGTTTCCCATTTCC